GATGCTTTAGACTGAGGCACTCCTGAGATTAACAGTGCTGCTGGCCTGAGGAGGTGAAATCTGGTTTCCCAGTTAGTTGTGTCAGATTGATCTTAGAGGTACTCACAAATCAAAATTGGCTGCAAGTCATTTCTTAGTGTTAGAAATAAAATTCGAGCTCCAAGGACCTCATCAGTACTGGACAAAGTGAAAGTAACTCAGCAAGGCAGATTTTACTTTTGTAAAAGAGTGACTTGTGCGGTCAGAGGGATCCAACAAGTACGTACCAGACCCAGAAACTTGGGGGGCTTTATCCCCAACACAAGAGAACTGTGTCTTTTCCCCACTGACTGGGGTCCATCCTCACAGTCTTTCCTGGTTGGTCAGTTTAAAAGAATCGCGATGAAAGAAGAGCTCCACTACTCCAGGCTTTTAGGCTTAGGAATGTATCAGGACCTTTCCTTAAACAAAACTCTCACAGGGTATGGAGTGATTAAGAGATTAGAATTCCTTGTCATAAACCAACTTTTACAGGGTTTGAAAGAAAAGACCAGTATCTAATATTTCTGACATTAGGGAAAGGGGAAAACTCACTGTCCTAGTTTGTTCTTCATTGCTGTGACAAAATACTCTGACCACTACCAACTTGGGGAGGAAAGGGTTTATTTAGCTTATATATCCTGGGTCACAGTTGATCTGGGAGCCCAAGGTAGGCACTCAGGGCAGGAACATGGAGGCAGGAGCTGGAGCACAGGCCATGGAGGAACGCTGCTTACTGGCTTGCTCCCCTAGCCCCTGCTCAGCCTGCTTTCTTATGCAACACAGGCACACCGGCCCAGGGGTGGCACCACCCACAGTGGGCTGGGCCCACCCACATCACTCATCAAGAAGATGCCCCTCAGACATGGCCACAGGCCAGTCCAATAGAGGCAATTCTCCAGCTGAGGCTCCCTCAACCCAGGTGTGTCAAGTTGACACTAAAGATATCTAGCACACTCACTGTCCTGGAAAACCTAAAACTGATTACCCTTAAGTTTCTCAAATAAAAAGTTGATTATGAAACCATGCTGGCAGGAGCAAAACCATTCTACAGAGAAACACAAGTGGCCCTCTGGCTCCCAGACTGATGAAACTTTCCCATGCAAAAGCACAATGCTAACCTCAAAGGGGATAAAAGCTTACTCCGGAGCCAAATATAAGTGACCATGGCCTGGAACACAGATTTAGGTCACCCCAAATTCCAGGTTTCAACACAGATGCATTTTCATGGCATTTTTATGGTAACAGAACAAAGAAAGTCATAAATCAAGATAATTTTCAAATACATTGGTGGAAACATTAGCTGGCAGGTAGGTTAAAGCAAAGTGGGGAAGCCTCTGGTAGAGGCCTCAGATAATATGGTATGACACTTCACGTTTTGGTTAGTTTGAAATGAGTGCTCTGTTTGTACATCCCAAAGGATTTACCTAATGGTCACAAAGCTCTCTGGTCACGTACAGAGGAGGGAAGAAAATGGTTTTTAAAGGGGCCCCAAGATAATATGGCTCTGGACGTGCAACATTCCAAACTCTCCACAATTACTGAAGTTTTAATCAGTTAATCAGCCTTGCCAAAGGTTCAGTAGAAGGTGTACCTTCTTTCCAGGAATTTTTCTTCACAGTCCCCAAGAAAAGAACTTTCCCAGGAAGCCCATGCTGAGAAAAGGAAAAAAGCTGAAGCCTGGTGCCAACCTAAGAGCCTTTCTCCAAGGTTGATTTTCCACAGTTCTGAGAACTACTCAGACCATCTTGTGGAAGAGATTGGCGCCAAGACAATGAGTCTGTGATGGGAGGGGACACACCTCACCAGGACTGCTTAGTTATGCATCCCGTTGGCCCTCTATTTAAATGTAAGCCTCCTGTCAGGACCCAGAAGATGGACTTTTGGATGCAAGACATCTTTGTTCCTCATACCAATGTGTCCACATGACTGGGGAAACTGAGGTCTTCTCTTATGTTCTTAGTATCATTAATAAAATAATTTAAGGACCTGGAGAGATGGCTCAGCAGTTAAGAGCACTGGCTATTCTTGCAGGGGACCCAGGTTCAATTCCCAGCACCTACATGGTGGCTAACAACTGTCTATAACTTCAGTTCTTGGGGATCCGACACCCTCTTCTGATCTCCGAGGGAACTACACGACACAGGTGCACTTACATACATGCAGGCAATACACTCATACACATAAAATAAAAAAAAATAATCGATAAAATAGTTTAAGATGGCCTTGGGAGGAAACTTGAAGACAATTTTATTAGCATTTGAGAGCAAGGCAATAGGATATGCATGCTGAAAATCCCAGCAGTTGCCAGGAAGAAGGGAGATATGAGAGAAAGCATGCTTAGGCTTTTGGCCTGTATTGGAAAAAGATATAAAAGCATTTGCGCTCCAAGGGCACCCAATTCCGGGCTCCTGTCCCAGGGCAAAGGATTGCACCAAGGACATTTGGTTAGACATAGAAATAAAGACAATTTATTAAGAAAGGAAAAATCACTCCCAAGAATGGAAGGGGGTTAGTGAGCTGATGAAAGAGCCCCCAAAAGCACTGGGCTGTGAGGCGCCTATCCCTTGGATATTTGCATAACACCCACCTCTCCCATTTGTATTTTTCTGGCTTTTCTTGTGTTTGCTCTGCTTGTTATGCAGAGGGGGGAAATATATATATATATCTTATAATCTGTGCAGTTGGTCACTGTATGACTTGTAGGCCTAATTTCTCTTACCTGGTTTTATATTTCTATGTTCTAGGACATAGTAACTGGCATGCACTGCTTAGTAAATGCTTAACCATAGCTAATAGAAGTAGAACTAAAGATGGAGAGCTCAGGAGACCAGAAATGCCACAGCTATCTGATGGGACCCCTGTTTTCAATTATCCTGTTTAATAAATTCCATTGTAAGAATGTTTAGCTGCCAGCAAATCTGCCTTTGTGGTCAACTTTTAGCTGCTTAAGCAGGAAAAGAATTTCCTGAAATTGTGATTATCTTGTGACATATAGGTGGCAATGCCTGGGGAGGACAGAAGAGGCTGTCGGATCCCCTGGGACTGGAGTTACAGACATTGGTTAGCTGCCATGTAGGTGCTGGGATTCGAACCTGGATCTTCTGCAAGAACAACCAGTGTTTTTAACTGCTGATCCATCTCCCCAGCCCCGTCTTTTAATTCTTTAACTGGCAGAGAAAACAAACCCATTTCTGTACCCCTAGATGCCATCACCATCTCCTAGGCAACCACCTGCAGCTTGTCTATTTCTATTCTCTTTCCCTTTAACTTGACCCTGGGTGTTTTTGCTCCATAAAAATGATTTTATTTTTAATTTTTATTTATGTTTATATGTGTGTGAGTGGGTGCCTGCAGAGACCAGAAGGGGGAGTCAGATTCCCTGGAGCTGGAGTTACAAGTGGTTGTAAGCCACCCATCATGGGTTCTGGGAACTAAAGTCTGGTCCTCTGAAAAAGCAGAAAGCACTCTTAACTGCTGAATGATGTTTCCAGCCCATATAGAGATCTTTCTTATCCTCCCAGGGAGGCAGAGCAGAAAAGCAAGGGGATTACAAAGCTGGGAAAGACTGAAAGTAAAAGCCTGGAGAATGAATTCGCAGACAGAAATCCTAGCCAAAGGGAAGCAGCTGGTTTGGAGCAGGCAGCCCACCCTGCACCTGCCCATATGTCACAACCTTAGCCCTAAACCTCTTCCCCCTCCTGAAGAGAGAAAAATACAAAAGCCCTGAGGTGTGCTCTCTGGCAGGTCCCAGGCTTCAAGGAGGTGTCCATCTCCTCTGGCTCCCAGGCAGTGGGGGTACCCTCTCAGGTTTATTGTCTAATAAATCTACTAACGCTGTAGAGGTTTGTTTTCCTTTGCCTCCCTCCCACTTTCTATTTCTTTAGAGTTGGAGTGGAAATTGGGAGAGTTCTCAGCAGGGCTGGGCCTCTCTGATCTCTCTCTCTCTCTCTCTCTCTCTCTCTCTCTCTCTCTCTCT